CCCCTGGTAATTTTTTTTTTGTACTGTTCTTCTCTATAATGCTGTATGCATCCCACTGGCAATTTATCACTTTACTGGATGTTTAATGATGCACGTGTATCGTGAAAATCAATGCAGGTCATTTTTTTTTACAATGCCTTTCTTATAGCTATATGGCTAATGGCTATTAGTACAGAATTATTAATACATTTTAAGACATTCTAAATAGAATTGGTAATGTTGATTTTGATATATTATCAGATATACACTATTTTAAGTTGAGAAACCTTACAGAAACGCTTCTGTTAATTTGTGGCCTTCAAGCAAGAACTGCGGTTCCTAGTTTTCATTTTCTCAAACTTTTGGGTTGCTCTGGCAAGTTTGCTACTGTGTGAAACATTTTAAGACCAGGAGAACTAAGAAGGTATTTAACAATAGTGTGGCAGACTGAAAGTTGCCAGACAGCATGGTACTCCTTCAGCTGTAGGAAAGCCAGTGAGAGGGAGTGTCTGCACTTTTACAAAATATTCTGAAATAGGCTTTAAATGATTGGTACCTTTTTTCTCTTCTGTTGCTTTGTTCTCTCCAGGGATTCCAGGGCTTTGGGTTTGGTGATGGTGGCTTCCAAATGTCATTCGGAATTGGGGCGTTTCCCTTTGGTATATTTGCAACGGCGTTCAACATAAACGACGGGCGACCTCCCCCAGGTACCATGCATCCTATCTTCTCCGAGAGTCCTGTCACAAACAGATGTGTTACAAACTCCCTTGTAACTTTTAAACAAGCAGCCTGCTAAATGACAAAACTTTCTGAACGGTTTTAAAGTAAATCAGTGTTGTATACAGAAACACAAAATGAGGGAAAACACCCAGTAGAGAACATAGTCTATGTCTTACAGGTTTTGTACAAGTGCTTATATAAGAAGCAAGTTTGTCACTTCCATATGATTTGCTGAAGGCCCTGTTGAGAGGACAGCAGAACTGGAGAGGGACAGTGGTACTGGAGACTTCTTCCCTTTAATTCAAATGTCTCCTCTGGTACTCCAATAGACTCCCTCTGAAAAAGGCGACAAATTTGACTAGAGTTTCTAATAGTAATAAAAAGGAGTCAGTAGGGGTGTATGAAGGAGACCTATATTTTGAAAACAGCAGGAAAGGACCATTCCCTGAAAGATGAGAAGGAAAAATTTATGCTGGTGCTCTGTACCACAAAATAATGACAGCAAAGATTGTTCCTTTCTTAGAAATTTATCTCTGAAACAGTCATCTGTATTCCACAAGAAGTAACTTTCTGGTGAAATAATTTCACTGGTTTTAACTGAGAAAAAAACAGTTGGGTTACTCCAAGTAGTGGTCTCGCTCTCTAAAAACCAAGTAATCCCCAGAAAACCTCCTCCCCATCTTCACTGTAGACAAACTGAGTCTACCTGTTTTGAACAAGAAAACCTAGTGCCCAGGATTTTCTGGACTTCCTCTGTGAAAGGTTGTGCCTGGCAAATCATCTTCACCATGTCATATGGCATAGGAATTATGAGAAACAGAAATACATTCTTCGTGTCACACCTGTGTCGCCAAGGACCTGTGCTGTCCTTGGGTCAAATTAACTTGCCTATTAACTATGCTTCAGTGTCCACTGAAAATTTGTATGGAGCTGTGACTGAGCTGCGGAGTATGTAAATATATGCTGTGGTAACAGCCATAATTTAATGAACTCCTTTATCTGCTTTTCATCTGTGGATTCAATACAGCAGTTCCAGAAAGGCACGGCTTGAGCTTTAGAGCTCATGTGCTTGTCATTAGTTCTCTTGGTCAAGGCTACACACGTAGCTTTGACTGTTTTACCATTTCCTGATTCAGAGACATTTTACCTTGATGGGGAGGAGCGCTCAGGTAGAGGTGGTAGCGTTCCTCAGGTTGGAAACAGTGAACTTAGTTCAGCACTCAGCAGTGAACTAAGCAGTGAACTTAGCTCAGCACTGTCCCCAGAAGTACTGTGAGCAGACCTGCCTGTACTCTAGCACTTGGAGCTGCCTGCTGCTATTAGTCATGAGCAGGTTTACCACAAGTCCTGCTTCAGGGATCTCATGCTAGTCTTCCTTTTGATCTTCCAGTATGGCTGGCCAGTCTGAGGGTAGGAAATAGCAACAGTTTCTTACCAGGTAGATTCCTTGCATATCTTTCAATTTGTGAATGTACTATGTTCAGAATATACACAATTCTGGAGAAGAGGAAGGAGCTGAACTGTTTTTTTACTTCCTGTTTTCCAGCTGTTCCAGGGACTCCTCAGTATGTGGATGAGCAGTTCCTATCCCGCCTCTTCCTGTTTGTGGCTCTGGTGATAATGTTCTGGCTGTTGATTGCATAGATCTTTTCCATTATTCTGTATATTCATGGCCAACAAGGCCACTGAAACAGTTACAAACTGCATCCCCATCCCATTTTAAACCTCTTGGTGTCTGGTTCCATAGCTAACTATGGGCTTCAGGAATTGGTGGTACCACAGCACGATGAGGAATCTCGCATTTTGCACCAGAGTTGGAAATTAAACATTGGTTAAAAAGCGTATTTCAGCTCAGCTATCTTGTATAACAGGTTCCTGCCACAAACCATGGGCCTAGCTTTGAGCTCTGCTCCTAAAAGGAGTGCTGCTTTGAAATCCCATGCCAACCAGTGACACCAGGTTTATGTGAAAGACAGTTGCCCCAAGGTAGACTGGGCAGGTAAGGAAACTTCTGCAGTGTGATCAGTATCTCATGCTTGGCAACCACGATGGATCTGCCAGAGCTGCGGATGTTATTTAATGTCTTCACATCAACATCCAACCTTCTTCAGGAAATCATCTGCAGCACTGCTGAGACTCTTTGGGCACAGCACGTGATGCACATGGAACCAGGTTTGGAGACTGGTTTCTTTTCTTGCTGTTATTTCCTGGCATGATGGAAAACCCCTCCTGAAGTGGTTCTGATGGCTGTTAGAAGAAGGGATACAAATTTATGCTGCAATTTTTTAAAGCCTGAATTTGCTGGAGCCAGACACTGGAAGATTCTCTCGTTGTGGAGCCGGGTGGGGTTGCTGAACAGTACGACGCACTGTCTGCCTCACCCAGCCCAGTTCCTCACTGACAAAACAGTGTTGTCTTCCTCGGTTCGGCGCAGCAGCCTGTGGCTGCACTCATGGATAATCCCCTCACAACTTTGTCACTGTAGCTACATTTATTCTTCCCAAGGCTTTGAGACTTTCTACACAAAGTCATGTACTCCAAATAAAATCCTATTACAGATCTGAGATCAGCTTGTTTGGGGAGAGGAACAAAAGGCATCTTTACATGAGTTTTGAGGTTAAACTTGTCATACTGTAAAATCATACAGGAGGAAAAATGAGATCCTGCCTTTGCTAGCATATGCCACAGTAGGGAACGTATTTGGAAGAACTTCTCTCTACAGGTGCATACAGCTACTCCATGCCACAGCAGAATGGCTATAGTGCAAAAGTCTCTGCAGTATCTACCAAAGATATTAATTTGAAGTGCTGGAGGAGACTACAACCATTTATGTGCCGAGGGGAAAATAGTTCAGAAGGTGAGCACTCTGTAGCCGTTTTGGAATCCTGTTGGGTATACAGCTTTAAAGAGTACTCCTGATGTATGTGTGTTGATTCCTTCAGAACAGCAGATAGGAGGGATTCCCTAGCAAGATGAACAGTTTTCATATTTATCTGACTAGGCAATTCAATTTTTTTTCTCTTATTGTTTTTAGATTATTTTGATTCAGATCGCTGATAGTCATAATGATTTCCTGCAAGATGAATATTGTGACTTCCCTGGCAATAGACAGACAACTGACAAAACAAATCAACTCAGAAACTTTGTTTCAATAGCTAGGGTTTTTCTAGTGTATGTATGAGGTTCCTGGGCAGGACACCTTAATTAATTGTTGTAGAAGCTTATTTATGTAATTATAAACTGTTCACTTTTAGTATCAAGACAGAGGATGACTGAAGTTTAACTTGCCTACCTCCAAAATTCCATCTGGCAAGTAGAATGTTGCAAAGCTTCTGCAGTGTTTTGCCCCATCTAGTCAAATTTATACCTGACTGGATGATCATCTGGCAGAATATATTGCTCAACTATAAATAGTTGAAGTGGTGCTTCAACTTTTGTTGTGTGGCACTTTTGAGAAGCTTAACTTCTGCATATGGTTCTTCTCAAGTGCATAACTTGGTAACTAGGCCCCTTTCTAGGAGAAAGGCTATTTATTGCATTCTTACAAGCAACTGGCTGTAGCACAATGTCGCAGCTTTGACTTCCTGTCATGAGCAGGCAGCACCACCTGCTGATGAAATGGGAAAGTTCATATGGTAGTAAAAGGGATGGTTTTCCTTCTCCTTTTTGTATTGAGAAACTCGATGCTAAGAGCAGAGGTTATCCAGGGAGGAGTAGGGTATCCCTTTAAAGCCTTTTTCCGATAAAGAGGACAGAAAAGTGACTGTAATAGGTTCAAGAGGTATTGAAACTGATTTAACTAACACTTATGTTTTAAAATACAGAATTTTAATGGCTTGGGGGTTTTTTTCAATCTATTGGTGAGAGACATAATGGATTTAGACGGAGGTAGCTGCAGCAACACGACTGAGACTCCTTATTTTCTGGCAATACAAGAATGAAATAGTCTAAAAGTGTTAACGCTTTTGTTCCTACCTTTTTCTTGGTGTGCTTTTTGTATCGTACCACTTCCCCCCTTTGTACTCAGACTGCACACAGCCCATAATGGCTTGTTTAGTGCATTACCATTACTGTTCACTAATTTTCACTGTTGTGAAAGTGATTTAGAATTAAAAAATGGTTTTACATTGACCGGAGTGCGCCGCCCTTCCTTTGTGCTTCGCGGACAGACTGAGGTGAGGCGCCTGCCCGATCCCTACCTCCAGGATGAGGTGGTAGTGCCTCATCCGTGCTGAGTGCTGGTCCGTGCCTCAGGAAGCGGGAGGGGCGGGGGCTCGCTTCTCCCTCACCGGGGCATCGGGGGCGTTCCGCGAGCGGCAG